TGTCTCTACTAAAAATACAAAAATTAGCAGGGCATGGTGGTGCATGCCTGTAATTGCAGCTACTCAGAAGACAGAGACAGGAGAACCACTTGAACCCGGGAGGCAGCAGTTGTAGTGAGCCGAGATCGCGCTACTGCACTCCAGCCTGGGCAACAGAGACTCGGTCTCAAACAAATAAAATAAAATAAAATAAAATAAAATAAAATAAAATAAAATAGTCACCAATCACCAACCACCAGTGTTATTTTAACTTCCTCTTTCACATTTTTTTCCAAAGAATAATAGTCTTAGTGAATTTATTTGGTAGGCATTCAAAATATACAGACACAGAGGACTGATTGATTAAAATTTGTGTACGAATGAAGCCGTTTTTAAGCTAGACAGTTCTTTACAATTTTTTTTTAGTGATAAGCAAAGTGAACGCCACAGCTACTTTACCAGGAAAGTAATTAAGCCTATTTCTCTGACAAGTTAAAATGTATACATCTTTTAAGAAACTGGGTCTGGCTATGTTGCCTGGGCTGGATTCAAACTCCTAGGCTCAAATGATCCTCCTGCCTCAGACTCCCTAGTACCTGCAGCACTTGAGCCCAGTAGTTCAAGAACAGCCTGGGCAACATGGGAAGACTCTGCCTCTACAAAAATATTTAAAAATTAGCTAGGCATGGCCGGGCACGGTAGCTCACGCCTATAATCCCAGAACTTTGGGAGGCTGAGGCGGGTGGATCACGCAGTCAGGAGATTGAGACCATCCTGGCCAACAAGGTGAAACCCTGTCTCTACTAAAAATACAAAAATTAGCAGGGCGTGGTGGTGCATGCCTGTAATCCCAGCTACTCGGGAGGCTGCGGCAGGAGAACTGCTTGAACCAGAGTCCAAGGTTTCAGTGAGCCAATATCGTACCATTGCAATCCAGCCTGGAGACAAAGTGAGACTCCGTCTCAAAAAAAAAAAAAAAAAAAAAAAAAAAAAATTAGTTGGGTGTGGTGTTGCATACCTGTGGTCCCAGCTACTCCGGAGGCTGGGGTAGGAGGATCACTTGAGGTTGAGGCTACAGTGAGCCATGATAGTGTCACTGTACTCCAGCCTGGGTGACAAGAGCTCATGTTTCAAAAATAAATAAAATGAATAAAAAGAATTAATGTAGATATAAAAATGAGAATGGGTCCAAAAGACTAACTAGTCTTAAAACCTTCCCTCTGGTCCCTGCTTTGCCAAATCAGGTTTGAGAAATTAGGTCTCAATAAATTAGACACATCACATCAAAAAATGGATCTTTCTGGGACAGTGGAAAAAATAAAAATAATTTCATACTTGAAAAGCAATTTAAAAAGAAGTCACATTGTACAGTGGGAGGCCAGACAGTTCAATAGTTAGCAGCAGGGCTTTAGAACCAGACTGCCTGAGTTTAAATGGGTGTGCCACTTAGGGTGACCTTGAGCAAGTTACTCAATTTCTCTGTGTTTCAGTTTCATCATCTTTAAAACAGGAAAATAAAAGCATCTACCTCTATAGGGTTGTTAAAAGAATTAAAGCCTTCAGGAAGCTTAAAAGCTACTTTTTATATTTATTCTTTCTAAATTTTCTATTTTGAACAGATTCCATATAACTGTAAACTACTCAGTGTTCTCTAAAGAACTGTTGTAGACACTATATTCAAGGACTCACTGTGAGCACCAGGCACAGTGTTTGCTTTCATACCAAATGGTTATCGTCTTTGTTAAATACTTTCAAACTACTGAAAGTGAGACATATACAGACCAAATATTCCATTTACACCAAGTGTTCTGTGGGGAAGGGAAGGGAAATTAAAGACTATCTCTGTTATTCATACAGTAGAGGCTGAATATGTATTTTTTAAATTATTAAGTCTAATATTATTTGAAAACAGTATGCGAATAAAATATGACTAACCCATTCCTCGAAATGAATCTCAAACATCCCTAAAATCAAATAAATGGACATAATACTACAGAAATTTTCAGATTAGTAGAAAATGTAACCACATAGCATGAGATCTGCACTGTATTGGCATAAACACTGTAACTGTGCCACACAATGAACTCGGTGAGAAACAGTAAGAGGTTAAAGCTAGTTTAAAACTTCAGAATCCATTTGTTCTCTGCTAAGTCAAATTATAAAAATAATACAGCAGTTTTGAAAAGCCCTTAGTTAAAAATTCCGTTTTTCCGCCTAGCTGAGTAATGCAGATGATTGAGGAGCCCAAAACTGGACGCACAGCAATTAAGTGTCAGGTTGTCTGGTGGCAAAGATTTCTCCTATCGCTCAGTCACAACTTGCTGGGAGACTATACCTCTTTCTAAGATGGCTGGAAACAGATGAGACAGTGCAGATGCAAAAAAAACGGTCGCTATAGGAACATTGCCGTAAAATCCATTCTCTCTATTATGGTTCTTGTTTGAGTTTTCCTAACATAGACATGAAGAGCAAAATACTGCTTTTAGTTAACCAATGGTTAACCTTGCAGCTTACACACGTATTTTTGTTTTTTCATTTTTCATTTGGCCGCATGGATTCTTATATTAGCTTAATTATAGATATAAAGTGGTTTGGCAGTAGCTAGCAATTCCCACTACTCCTTCCACTCGTCCTCGTCCTCCTAAAGGGTTATAAACTCAAGCAAAAAAAAAAAAAAAAAAAAAAAAAAAAACAAAGGCCAGGCCTCAAAACCAAAGACTCTATCTCACTTTGCCTCAAGTTTGCAAGTTGGTAAAAAAAAAAAAGCTGCCGGCAGGCACTCAAAAAAACAAAACAAAACAAAACAATACTGGGTGACTGCTGGACTAAAGAATACAAGGTGACGAGATCAAGTATCCTGCTAGCCACAGACTAGCTCTGGGATGGCCAGAGTGTGTGACCCTACCACCTCCGCTCTCTGCTTTCAGGTCCTAAACTGACACCAGTAAAAGGACGACTGGAGGTACCGCAAGAGGAAGAAAAGACTTCGGGCTTGCCCCGCCTGCTGCCACTGACCCTCGTGTCCCCAACACCGATGCCGCTAAGAGCCGCGGCCAGGGAGCTCAGATGGGTCCCCAAGGGAGGAATGGGAAAGCGCGACCTCACTGCCGCCACGCGCACCGGACCTGTAGAGGCCGCTCGCGCCTACGCCTCCCGGGGCAACGACGCGCTGCAGGCCGCGGCCGCCTTCACCCCAGCAGCCGCGGCCTCTGGGAGAAGGAAGCTCGAAGGCCGCCTGCTCCCCATGCCTCCCACCCCACAACGAATCACGCCGGAAAAGGCAAAGTTTGACTCTCGCCGTTAGGCCCGAACTTTCCCGCCCGCCCGTGCAGCTCCCACTCGGCCGTCCCCGGGCTCCAGCCTCTGGCCCACTCACAGAGACTACTTACTCTGTCTGCTCCCGCAGCGACTGGGTCTCCGCGGCGGCCATCTTGAACTTCCTGACTCCTCGGCGGCGGTGGCGGCGGCTCCCGGACGGTGGAAGGTAGTGGAAGTGGAAGAAGAAGGAAAAGAGCTGCCGCGCATGTGCTGAACGCGTAGGGAAGAGCGGGGTTCTGAGTCCGCGCTAAGAATCCGGATATGAAACCTTGCGTCCCGGGACTGGCGCAGGGCGTAGTGTCGCAACTTCCGGGAGCATGGTGGGCGGGGCTGCTGAAAATTGAGGGCCGTGTCAAGCTTGAGCTCTTTCGTCAGTGCTGGAAATGGACGTTTAGTTATTGAAGCCCGCTGACGAAGGAAGCCAACAAGAGAGGCATGTCGGCATCGGGTATGCGGTTCCAAGAACTGATTGGCTATGGAGACTGGAAGTTGGGTGAAAATTCTCATAAACTCGGGCAAACGAATTGATGATTTTTCCCTGGTCGGTGTTAAGAGACACAGTAAATGCTTAACCATCTCGCTAGATAACTCAGCTGAAGTGGCATTAGCTTCCCCGGAAAGTGTGTAGAAAGGCGTTTTTAAATACTGTAAATTAGGGTTGTACCTCGAACGTAAATATCTTTTAATGTGGAACTGTTACTGTATTTGATACATCTTTTCAACTTTCACATAGTTCAAGGGTGACATGATTCAGGAGTCGTTCAGTTCGTTGTTTCCGTAATTGGAACGTGTAATGTTTTTTGGCTCAAGTTGCTTTATGTGATTTTGTTTTTTTCTATAACGACGCTGCAGTAATGGGGTAGAATGGAATATTGTAGGGAAAACATTTACTGGCTCTTGGAGAGCTCTCAATACCAATTAGGTTCTTTAATTCCTCTTTAAAAAAATATTTCTCGGCCTGGCGCTGTGGCTCACGCCTGAAATCCCAGCACCTTCGGAGGCCGAGGTGGGCGGATCACCTGAGGCCAGGAGTTCGAGACTAGCCTGGCCAACATGGTGAAACGCCGTCTCTGTTAAAAATACAAACAATTTAGCCGGGCGTGGTGGCGCGCGCCTATAATCAATCCCAGCTACTCGGGAGGCTGAGGCAGGAGAATCGCTTGAACCCGAGAGGCGGAGGTTGCACTGAGATCACGCCACTGCGCTCCAGCCTGGGCAACAGGGCAAGATTCCATTAAAAAAAAAAAATTATCCATACTTTGGAACCTAGAAGCAGCGTGACGATCACTTTCATTCTTGTAATCATCTTAGTTTGCCTTTGTCCTAGAAAATTGAGTTCGGAATCTCCAGGCTCCATACATATCTCTTGATTTCCAGGGGAGAAGGGTTTCAAATGTTCTTACAAAATGTCTCTTGCTGCCTGAATTCCCAACGTTTTGAAATGTTAGGGCCAGGCGCGGTGGCTCAGGCCTGCAATCCTCTAGCACTTTGGGAGGCCGAGGCGGGCGGATTGCCTGAGCTCAAGAGTTCAAAGTTCAGCCTGGATAACATCGCGAAACCCTGTCTCTACTAAAAATACAAAAAATCAGCCGGCGTGGTGGCCCCTATAGTCCCAGCTACTCGGGAGGCTGAGGCAGAATCGCTTGAACCCGGGAGGCGGAAGTTTCAGTGAGCCGAGATCGCGCCATTGCACTCCAGCCTGGGCAACAAAAGCAAAAACTCTGTCTCAAATAAAATAAGTAAATAAATGAAATAAACTTAGTAAACTATTTTAAAATAAATAATGTGAAAATTCACAGTGTATGTAGTAGAACTGTGAGAGATCTCATCTTGGAAACAGAGTGATATACTTGAAGGCAAAAGATTGGATTAGGTACTATTAACACGTTTTACACATGAACAAACTGACACTAAGAGGTAAAGTAATTTGCTTATGATGATTGAGTTCCCAAGTACCAAGCTGATTTTTGAACTAAAATCTGACTCGAAAATCTGCTATTTTCTTATCAGGCTGCTTCCTACAAGAATATAACCTCGCTTAGTATCTACTTATAGAGCATCCACCCTCACAACTCTTTGGCATTCAAATGTTTGTTGAGTAGCGGTAGTAGAGCACTACGTTCCAATCAGAAAATGCCTTATTTTTCCTTGTTTGCAGGAGCATATTATAAATAAATGCCAAATGCCTTGTTTTCGCTGTGTCTCTTGTTGTCGAGAGCTCAAGCTGGTCTCAATTTCTACAACCACAGGTCTCCTTCTGCCCTAGGTATATTGCAGTTATGCTTTACGTGGAGATGAAGCATCCTAAGAGTGGGGAAGGATATATGGGGCCGGAACAATAGGCGCTGAAGCCAGATTGTGACTAAAGTTGGTATTTGAACAAACCAAGTGTTTTTTTTAAAGAGCATGGTAAAAACTAAGTTTCAAAAATCGATGCTGGCAAAAATTTCCTTGAAAAAATTCTCACCAAGTTCACTTGCAAGGTGCTACCTGGGGAATGAAATAGATTTGTCAAGGACACACCTAAAACTATATTACTGTTGTAGTTTTGAAAGACTGAGACCTTTGGAAGGGGGAGTTACAATTAAAGCAAACATCGGCGTATCCGTTTATTCATTCACCAAATGTTTATGAAGCAACAAACTTATGCCCAATATTTCAATCTTGCTGCTCTTCCTCCTCAAATTCAGGAACTTTTGCAACGGAAACCAGCCCCGGGCATGCGCCTTTTGAGCCGAGGAGCAAAAGGGGCAAGTCAGTAGCCGCACCCGCCTCCCCGGAAATCCTTGGAGGGGCGGGGCTCTCGGAGCGCGCTCTTCCCAGCGGCAGCTGGGGAGGCGCATGCGTACTTGCGTCATCGTGGGGGGTGCATCGCGGAGGCGTGGGAGAATCTGTGGCCCGCGGTGGGCCTTGGTCCCTTCTGTCCCCGCCCCGAAGCCGCCTGCTCAAGCTGAGGGCCACCGGCTTCTATCCGTCGGTGTCGGTGCTCCTTGCCTCCCAGCCAGAGCGTCTCATCCCTGGGCCCGGAGCCCTAGCCTCGCTCTCCTCAGCCCGTGCTGGCAGCGGCACTCTTGCCGCCATTCCTGTGAGGTCGTTTTCCGGAGCCGCCGGGCTGGCGGAGGAGTAAGTAGGCGCCAGAGTCTTGGCCCCGGCATCCGCCTCGGGGCCCTGTGGCCGCCGCGCGCCGTATCCTGCGTTGATCCTGTCCGTTAAAGCGGAGGTCGGCCGTGCTTGCTGACGCGACCGTGAAAACCACAGCGCCTGGCGCCCGGCCGCCGCCGCCACGCCACACACAAGTGTACCGGCCCGAGGCAGGCTTCGGGCGCGAGCTTGCCCTTTGTGACTTTCTCTTACCGTCTTTGCTTGCTTCCTTTTAAGTATTACTTCCAGATAAGGGACACATTCTCGAAATACTTTGAAAATAATTTTGAATTTTGTTTCTCCCGTTGAGACGGATTACATTTGGACCTTTCAAGCTACACTGTGCAATCATCAATCTCAATAAGCTCTTAATAGGCTTATTCTTCCGTAGGCTACAAGCAAAATAAAGACCATAACATCCTGCGGAGGAAGCCGTTGGTCCATGTGGAGTCGCCAGATGTCAATTAAGAGTAGATCGCTTTTCAGAGAATACTTAACGGCTCTGGTTTAGACCCGGACTTGGAACTTTGAGGTGTTTAGAACGCTGGGCAGAATTTTCCTTTGTTACAAAACAAACTTTACGAGAACGTAATTTGTTTTTGTTGTTGTTGTTAGTATTGAAGCAATTTTGGTGCAAACCAAAGGATAAAGCAAAACAATGATCACCCAGAGTTCCGTTACCCATACTGAACCAACTTGAACATACTGGTTTATTTTGGCTTTTTTCCATGTGAAATGTCAAATATTCTTATACTCAGGTATAGAAAGAATGTGATAGTTTGCTCTTTCATGTAACATGTCCCCCAGTTTTTACGTACATAATTCTCGTTTCAGTAAGCATTTTTATAACTACACTCTTTTTCCTTTGTTATTGTATGTCTAGGTTATTTCAACTGCACTATTGCATGTAACTACTATATGATGAGGCAATGGCTAGATTAGTATTTAGAACGTGAGCATTCAAGTCAGGCGGACCTGGGCGTCACAACTTACTGGGCAATTTCAAACAATTTAACTTTTTTGAGCCTCATTTTACACAGTAACATGGGGGTAATGATTCTGATTGCCTAGCATTATTAGAGTAAAATGAAATAATGAAGGAAAGTGCCTGCAGCATGTCTTGTTAGTAAATGCTATTACTGTAGGCAGATTTTCTTTTGTTGTGATTTTTTGGGACATGTATGATTTATTTCCAGATTTTGAATATACTTAAATACCACAGTGGGGGTATGGGGTTTGATACACAGCTTTTCATATATTTTATACAATATATTCTGTGTTTGATACACAGCTTTTCATATATTTTATACAATATATTGTGTGTTTGATACACAGCTTTTCATATATTTTATTATAAGTAACACATGAATTAGAAATAATTTTTCACAATAGGGAAACATTTAAAAAATTAAAATGTATAATCCTGCTAACCATAGGTGAATAGTTGCATTTTGGGCAATCCTTTTTTATGCATATATATGTAGTGGTTTTATTTATTTATTTATTTATTTATTTATTGGAACAGAGTCTTGCTCTGTCACCCCGACTAGAGTGCAGTGGCGCGATCTCGGCTCACTGCAATCTCCACCTCACCGCTTCAAGCAATTCTCCTGCCTCAGCCTCCCAAGTAGCTGGAATTACAGGCGCCCGCCGCCGTGCCCTGCTAATTTTTATATTTTTAGTAGAGACGGGGTTTCACCATCTTGGCCAGGCTGATCTCGAACTCCTGACCTCGTGATCCACTCTCCTCAACCTCCCAAAGTGCTGGGATTACAGGCATGAGCCACTGTGCTGGGCCTGTAGTGTTTTTTAAAAATAGAATTATATTATAAATTGGGCTTAGTAACTTGCTGAAAATGGCAGAGGCCAGTGCGATGAGAGTGGGGTGATTAAGGGAGTAGGAAGTAATGCAGGAAAGGGAGTTTGTAGGATTCGGATTTCATTAAAAGTGTACTGGGCAGGTTGGGCATAGTGGCTTGGGCCTGTAATTCTGTCACTTTGGGAGGCTGAGGTGGATCCCTTGAGCCCAGGAGTTCGAGCCAGCCTGGGCAACACAGGGAGACCTCATCTCTATAAAATAAAAATAAAAATTATTTTGAAAAAAATCTTTACTGGACAGAGTAAGTTCAGGATTGAGGAGTAACCTGATTTGTTTTAGAAGGTTCATTTGGCTGCAGTATGGAGATAGACTGTAAGGGACCAGGGGAGGAAGATGGAATCCAATTAGGAGAGTATTTAAGTAATTTCTGTGAGAGATGATGGTAGTTTCGATCAGGTTGTAAGTAGGGAAAAATGATTGGGTTCTGGATGTATTTGGAAGGGAGAGGTTATAGGATGCACTGATGGGATGTGGAATTCAAGAGAAAGTGACTTAAGGAATTTTGGTTTGGGCAATTAAACAGATACAGTTGCTACTTACCAAGATAGAGACTGCAGGTGGGGGTTAAACAGAGTTCTGTTTCAGTCATGTTACCTGTTGTGGAGTCTAACTAACTGGAACAGGAGTATTAAAGACTTCGTCTTCTATTCTTGAGGTATCAATTTGTCCCTTCATTTCTGTCAGTTTTTGCTACATATATTCTCTGTTACTAGGTGCATGTATCCTTGTAAATTGTTATATCTTCCTTATGGGTTTATCCTTTTATCATTAGAAAGTGTTTCTCTTTTTCTCTAGTAGCATTGTTTTAAAGTCTATTTTGTCTGATATTAATGTAGCTATTTCAGTTCTCAAGTGATTGCTATTTACATGCTTCGCACCATTGAATCTAAAATGTGTCTCCTGTAGACTTTATATAGTTGGATCTTGTTTTTGTTTTTGTGTTTTGAGACAGAGTTCGCCCTGCTGCCTAGGCTGGAGTACAATGACGTGATCTTGGCTCACTGCAACATCCACCTCCTGGGTTCAGATGATTCTCCCACCTCAGCCTCCCCAGTAGCTGGGGTTACAGGCGCCCACCACCACACCCAGCTAATTTTTGTATTTTTAGTAGAGACGGGGTATTACCATGTTGGCCAGGCTGGTCCCGAACTCCTGATCTTGTGATCCGCCTGCCTCAGCCTCCCACAGTGCTGGGATTACAGGCGTGAGCCACTGCGCCTGGCTGGATCTTGTTTTTCTTAATCTGATAATTTCTGCCTTTTGATCCAATTGTTAAATCATTCACAGTTAATGTATTTGATATAGTTGGATTTATGTATGCCATCTTGTTTTTGTTTTCCTTATGTCTTATGTCTTTTTCTTTTCCTCTGTCTCTCCTTTACTGCTTTGTTTTGCATCAAGTGAATATCTTCTGATGTAGCATTTTAATTTCTTGAGTGATTTTTTTCAGTCTTAAGTCTTTTTAGAGACTTTAGTGGTGCTCTAGGGCTTACCGTACAATTATAGGTTAACTTATTAGAATCAGCTTCGGATTTATACTCACTTAATTGCAGTGAGATGACTCCAATATACTTTTATTCCATGTCCCTGTTTTTTTTTTTTTTGTGGTTTTGTTGTTGTACATGTTGTATCTTATAGCTGTTACAAACTCAACAATACATTACTACAATTATTACTTTTACATCATATAAAGACAATGAACAAAGGAAACCAAGTATATATTTGTAGCTTTTGTTGTAGTAACCTTATTTATAATTTCAGGTTTTTTGTTTCTTTTTCTTGTGGATTCATTACTATCTGGAGTAAGCTTATTTTCTTTTTTCTCTCTCTTTTTTTTGGTAACAACGTCTTGCTCTGTTGCCCAGGCTGCTGGAGTGCAGTGTCACGAATATATCTCACTGTAGCCTCAAACTCCTGGACTCAAAGTGATCCTTCCACCTCAACCTCCTGAGTAGCTGGAACTACAGGCGCATGCCGCCAGGCCTGGCTAATTTTTGTATTTTCTGCACCTCAGCCTCCTGAGTAACAAGGTCTGTTGGCACACATCACCACATCTAGCTAAGTTTAAAATTTTTTATAGAGACAGAGTCTCACTATGCTGCTCAGGCTGGTCTCTAACTCCTGGCCTCAAGTGATCCTCCAGCTCTGGCCTCCCAGAAGTGCTAGGATTATAGCCATGAGTTCTTTGTATGAGTTCCTTATATATTTTGGATATTAACCCCTTTTTAGATACAAGGTTTTTCAGTATTTTCTCCCATTCCATGGATTGCCTTTTCATTTTGTTGTTTCCTTTGCTGTGCAGGAGCTTTTTTGTTTGATTTAGTTCCATTTGCCTATTTTTGCTTTTGTTGCCTGTGCTTTTGGTGTCATTTACAAAACAAAAAAAATTATTGCCAAAACTAATGTCATGGAGCTTTTCCACTGTTTTCTTCCAGTTTTATAGTTTCATGTCTTACATTTAAGTCTTTTCACTTTTTTTTTTGACACAGAGTCTCGCTCTGTTGCCCAGCGTGGAGTGCGGTGGTGTGTGATCTTGGCTCACTGCAACCTCCACTTCCTGGGTTCAAGCGATTCTCATGCCTCAGCCTCCTGAGTAGGTGGGATTACAGGCACGGGTCACTGCACCCAGCTAATTTTTGTATTTTTAATAGAAATGGGGTTTCACCATGTTGGCCAGGCTGGTCTTGAACTCCTGACCTCAAATGATCCACCCGCCTCAGCCTCCCAAAGGACAATGATTACAGACGAGAGCCACCGCACCTGGCCTCTTTTAACCATTTTGAATTGACTTTTGTGGATGGGGTAAGATAAGGACCCGGTTTCATTTCTTGGCATGTGGTTATCTAGCTTTTTCAACACCATTTATTAAAGAAACTGTCCTTTATTGTGTGCTTTTGACACCTTTGTTGATTATTAGTTGACCACATAAATGTGCATTTATTTCTGGGATTCCTATTCTGTTCCATTGGTCTATATGTCTGCTTTTATGCCAGTACCATGCAGTTTTGATTACTGTAGCTTTGTAATATAATTTGAAATAAAAGAAGTGTGATGCTGCCAGCTTAGTTCTTCTTGCTCAAGATCATTTTAGATATTAAGGGTCTTTTGGGTTCTGTATGGATGTTAGGATTTTTTTTCCCCCTTTGAAAAGTGTCATTGGGGTTTTGCTAGAGATTGCATTGAATCTGTAGACTACTTTGTGTATTGCAGACGTTTTGACAATAATGATTCTTCTAATCCTGAACATGGGATAGCTTTCCATTTATTTGTGTCGTCTCCAGTTCTTTCATATATGTATTATAGCTTTTAGTGTACACATCTTTCCCGTCCTTGGTAAAACTTACTCCTAAGTATTTTATTCCTTTTGATGCTATTGTAAATGGGATTGCTTTCTTAATTTCTTTCTTGGATACTTCACTGTTGGTGAAGTGTAACTGATTTTTATATGTTGATTTTGTGTCCTGAAACGTTACTGGATTTGTTTATTCATTCTAACAGTTTTTAGTGGCATATTTAGGGTTTTCTGTATATAAGATCATGTCACCTGCAGAGACAATTTTACTTCTTCCTTTCTGATTTGGATGCCTTTTATTTATTTTCCTTGCCTAATTGCTGTGGCTAGGATTTCTAGTACTATGTTGAATATAAGTGGTAAGTGTGGGCATCCTTGTCTGTGCTTGTCACATTCAGTTACATGTGCAGTACTGGAACCATCCAGCTCATAGTCACATAATTCTTCTTTGTGCAGCCTCATGTAAAATCACACCCCGTTCACATTTTTTCTGTCTGTCTCCCACCTCTCCAGGCCCCTGCGCTGCAACTTTCAGTTACTTCAGACTTTCAGAAGACTGGCCTCTAAATACCTCAATTTATCTGCACTACTGTGATCTACTTGAAATTCTCTTCCCTCTTCTGCAGTTTGTAATGGCATTCAGGCCAAAAGCTGTAGTAGTTTTAGGGCTCTCTTCATTTGCTTCTCTACTCCTAGGGATCATAGTTCTGTGCTATCTGTTGTCCAGCATCTGACACAGTTGGTTTTATATTTTGTCTAGTTTTCTATTAAGCAGGTTAAGTCTGGTTCCTGCTATTCCATGTAGCAGGAAGCAAAGGTTCTCTAATGCATTTTTAACATAGTTAATAACATAAGCATGGATTCTAAAAATTCATTACATAGATCCTGGAAATCTATTTAATATGTTTTATGCATTCTGTGAAAGCTGGAGAATATATATTTGTTTTACTATGTGTATCACAAATAAAATATCAATTTCATGTGCCAGAGAATTGAATACAGTATCAAAGGGTCATTTCATAACTTTATCATCACCACCTATCCTGGAAGTCCTTTAAACTTTCTTTTCTATGGATCTAACATTTATCAATAATGAATTCCTAAACTACTGTATTAGTTAGTCCAGTGTTTCTCAAAGTCCACCGTATACAAAATCATCTAGGGAATCTTGCTAAAATGTGGATTCTGATTTAGTAGGTCTGGGGTGAGGTCTTCCCTTTTGCAATTCCAGCAAGTCCCCATGGGATGCTGGTGCTGGTTAATGGATGTCACTTAGAGTAGCAAGTAGCACATTTGCCCAGTATTTACAATGAGCACATGTTTTGGGTATCATCAAAACAAGAGAATCTAAAAACGTATGGCGTGGGTTGTGTTATTTGATATTTCAAAAAGATCATTGAAATCAGAAAATCTTAGAGATATGTTGCGTTTCTTCACATTTGCTCTATGGCTTAATGTTTTATTTTGAATATATAATAAAAGAGATACCACAAATCTTTAGCTATTAATATTTAGGAATGTTGATGTCCTTAATTCATGTTGTCTCAAATGTGATTCATTCCCTTTAAAGGTATACTAAAACAGGCAATCATGCCTACAAAACCATCTTCCTAACTTTCTTTCCTGTTTTTAGTCTCTTCCTGAACCAGTGACAGTGGTTCTCAAACACTTTGGTCTGAGGACCCCTTTATGGCCTTAAAAATGATTGAAGAGCTTTTATTTGTGAAGATAATACCTACTAATACTTGTTGTAATCTATTAACATTGAGAAATGTAAAAATTTTTATTAATTCATTTAAAATATCAATAATAAACCTATTATTTGCTAATATAAATTTCAATTTTTAACGAAAAATAACTTTAGTTTCTATTGTGTGCTTCTGCATTTTGAAAATATGTCTAGGATACAGTTTGTATTTAGGAGATAGTTTCTTTTTTTTTTTTTTTTTTTTGAGATGGAGTCTTGCTCTGTCACCCAGGCTGGAGTGCAGTGGCATGATCTCAGCTCACTGCAAGCTCCACCTCCTGGATTCACGCCATTCTCCTGCCTCAGCCTCCTGAGTAGCTGGGACTACAGGCATCCACCACCACGCCCGGCTAATTTTTTGTATTTTTAGTAGAGACAGGGTTTCCCCATGTTGGTCAGGATGGTCTTGATCTCCTGACCTCGTGATCTGCCTGCCTCGGCCTCTTATAGTGCTGGGATTACAGGCGTGAGCCACCGTGCCTGGCCAAGATATTTTCTAAATAAATGCATATTCAATTTTTAAAATGGGACAAATGTAGTATAGACATATTTTTGCTAACAATATCCATATAGTTGCAAATTTCACTTTTAGAATTTGCTTTCAAAAACAGGTTTATTCTTTGTTATGCCTTAATTAGTAAATCATGTTATAAAACTTCTTTGATGAAATTGGTCTTTGGTTAGCCATTGACGTAGGAAGGATTAGAAAGGGTCCAGGGCTCCTTGGTACTGGCTGTGACTGGATAAATAACTTGTGGCTTAGTTTGTGTTTAGGTGTCATAACTAGGCTAGGTTTGGGCCCTAGAAAGTGCTAGCCTTACTGTAGGAGAGGAAGTGGTATTGCTAGGTGTGTCTTCAGGTCAGGAAGTGGGACAAGTGCAGTATTGAAGCCCAGGGAGGATGAAAGGTGAGATTCCAGTAAAGGATTCAGAATTTGGGCATGGTGAAGCATGCCTATAGTCCCAGCTACTTAGGAGGCTGAGGTGGGAGGATCACTTGAGCCCAGGAGTAAGCTGTGATTGTGTCACTGCACCCCAGCCTGGGTGACAGTGAGACCTGTGTCAAAAATAAATACATAAAAATAATTTTTAAAAAAAGGATTCAGAATTCTAGAATACATACTATCTTTATATAATGCAGATCTGTTCTTAGGATTGCATTTTCCAAATGAGGAATAAAATAATTTCCAAAATACTTACTGGGAAATCATATACTGGTACTGTATTACTTGGAATAAAAATCAAATAAAAGTCAAACTTCTTAATATGGCCTGTAAAGCCCGGATAATTTAAGCCTTACCTATTTTTCAGTTTAGTCTTTCAGCCACACTGGCCCTCATGTTAATCCTAAAACATGCAATGCTTTTTCCTACATTAAAGCTTAGGGTTTTTGATATTTCTGCTGCCTGAATTTCTCTGTTCTCACTCTTCCTCTTGATCACCATGACTTATTTTTCAAGTGTTGGCTTAAATGTCAGTCCCACAGATAGCCCGTATCTAAATAACAGCTTTCCCTCTGGTCCGTATATAAATTAGGACCTGTTTTTTTCTATAACTTTCTTAAAGGAGCCTGTTATTTTCCCTGATAAAACCTTGTTGGACTGTTTGTCAGTATATTTATTTGCCTGTTTGTTTGGTGTCTGTTTCTCTTTCTTCCCTATGTGTTTTGTTTTGTTTTGTTTTGTTTGAGATGCAGTTTCACTCTGTTGCCAGGTTGGAGTGCAATGGCGCAATATTGGCTCACCACAACCTCCACGTTCCGGGTTCAAGCGATTCTCCTGCCTCAGCCTCCCAAGTAGCTGGAATTACAGGCATGCGCCACCACCCCAGCTAATTTTGTATTTTTAGTAGAGACAGGGTTTCTCCATGTTGGTCAGGCTGGTCGCAAACTCCCGACCTCAGGTGATCTGCCCGCCTTGGCCTCCCAAGGTGCTGAGATTACAGGTGTGAGCCACCGCACCCAGCCTGTTTGTTTGTTTTCTTATTAGACTATAAACTCTGTGAGATTAGACCATGTCTCTTTTGTTTGTCACTCTGGCCTACCTGCTAACACAGTGCTTACACATAATAATAGGTGCTCAAGAAATAGTGTTTGATGGATGAACGTAAAATTATAAGAGCCTGAACTAGTGTAATATGGAACACAGGGAGGAAGACATGAATTAGTAAAGCCTTTGAAGAATTAGCATGTTCTGTGATAAAGCTACTGGGGGATCTAGGCAATATTTTTTGATACTTTTTAAAAAAATTGTGATAGCTACCCAATATTTAGGAATGATGTATATCACACGTCTCAGTGATGTACGTAGCCTTTTGTACTGGTGAAGAGAGCCAGGTGAGGTCTAATTCTAAGGATCTAAACACTGCGTTCCTGTAGAGAGCCTGGAGAAGTCCCTCTTGCAGAAGATCATCCACGTCAGACCACCCATGACTTAGTGAAATAATTACCATTGCTGTTCAGCTGCAAAAATCACTCACTGTTTTGACTTCATAAAATTATCAGTTTTAGTGTTTAATCGTTCACAGCCTTGTCAAAACTGCCATGGATAGGGAGAGAACGATTTACCTGCATTAAAACTTCGAGTATTGCTCTTCATAGGGTTTGTTTTGAGTTGTTTAGGCCTGCCTCAGAGTTCAAGACACTTAGTCTCTCCTAAGAGAAATTATGGTCACAACAAACAGAGATTAAATAAAGAGCAAGAAATTAGAAGAAACGCAAACCACTCACTTAGATTATTTGTCAGATTTTGGCCTTAAAAAGAGACAAAGGTGCTTGAAACAAGTGATTAAACTGACATTTTTAGATTATTATTTTATTCATACCTTTATTGTGGCTAAATTGGCTACATGAAAACATTTTATAATTTTAAATAAATATATCTACAAATCTGTATACCACAACAACTGGAGGGTGATTCGTCATTTAAATAATTTATCATAGGATTTTCATAAGATCAAACTCTTGGTGCATATCAAAGAGAGAGAAAGCTTTCATTTCAGTTCTTTTTTTTTTTTTTTTTTTTTTTTTTTGAGACGGAGTCTCGCTCTGTCGCCCAGGTTGGAGTGCAGTGGCCGGATCTCAGCTCACTGCAAGCTCCGCCTCCCGGGTCCACGCCATTCTCCTGCCTCAGCCTTCATTTCAGTTCTACACATTCATTGAGTACCTCTTATGTAGCAGTTGCGTTGTTCTAGAATCTTATCTATCAGGTAAAGCTAGGTACACCTGAAATAGTTTAGTTATGGTGGCAAGGTTAGACTGCAGTTACTGACTTTTTTGTATATCTATGTACATCTTCCATAAGAGGGCAGCAAAGGACCAGCATGATTTTTTCCTTATCATGAAGTCATAGCAGAGATTGCCTCATATTGCAAACTTAATAGAAATCTTCTAAGAGTAAAGGCAAACAGAGGGCACGGTTACAATTTTACTTAGTGTCTAGCCTGTCTGTTATGTGGTCTGATGTGGTTTTTAGTGTATAGATTATCTCACATGGACTGTGGTATCTGTGATAGCCTAGTGATTAAGTCTTGGCCCTCCGGTCAGTTGTCAGGCTTTAAATCCCGGAAGCAAAACTTAACTAGCTTCGTGATCTAGAAGGACTACTCAGTCTTTCTGAGCAAGGAGGGCAAGGGATAACAACAATGCCACTTCACATGGTTTTCATAAACAAAATAAAATTTGTGTCCTGAAGAGGCTAAGAACAGTTAAAAGGTGGAGCTAGAAAAACCACCGTCTACCAGCCTTAGGTATATTCTATTTATTTAAGTTAAACTCTTATTAGAGTCTCATAAAGAAAAATATAGGTCACTACTTTCTGTAGCTACTTACATTTTTCGTTAACATACGTATCTATGTACTGACCAATTATTTGTTCATACAATTTATCAAACCAATTAAACCTACACTGTGTTGAAATTTTTTCCCCACCCCACAAGACAGCCTGGCTGTGTTGCCCAGACCGGAGTGCAGTGGCACGATTTTGGCTCACTGCAACCTCTGCCTCCCAGGTTCAGGCAGTTCTCGTGCCTCAGCCTCCTGAGTAGCTGGGATTACAGGGGCCTGCCACCATGCCTGGCTAATTTTTGTATTTTTAATAGAGACGGGATTTCACCATGTTGCCCTGGTGGTCTCAAACTCCTGACCTCAGGTGATCCACCCGCCTCGGCCTCCCAAAGTGTTGGGATTACAGGCATGAGCCACCAAGCCTGGCCTGAAAATACATTTTGATGAACAAAAAATTTTTAATTTTTTTTTTCCCCGAGACACAGCCTTTCTGCTCTGTCGCCCAGGCTGGAGTTCAATGGCACGATCTTGGCTCACTGCAACCTTCACCTCCTTGGTTCAAGCAATTCTCCTGCCTCAGCCTCCCTAGTAGCTGGGATTGTAGGCATGGGCCACCATGCCTGGCTCATTTTTTGTATTTTTAGTAGAGATGGGATTTCACCATGTTGACCAGGCTGGTCTCAAACTCCTGACCTTGTGATCTGCTCCTTTGGCCTCCCGAAGTGCTGGAATTACAGGCGTGAGCCGCCATCCCAGCCAAAAAATTTTTTATTTTAAAAGTCAATGTATATCATTTGTGTTTTATAGTTAGTGCTTCTCATGTTTTGTTTACAGTTTTAAAATTCTTCCATTAGTCTAAAATATTTTCATGTGTGCTTTCTACTAAAAGATTTTAAGTTTTGTTTTTGACATTACAGTTTTTAATACATTTGGATTTGGATCTTATATCTTGTATGAGACAGAACTCTAATTTTCACC